GTTTCGAGAAATATGGTTTTTTTAAAGAGTAGCATATCTATTAATTCTCCATTGATCTTTCTTTTACTAATCAGTACATATAGTTTGGTAGGAGGAGATAGAAAATGGGTTTAAATCAGTTTTTACGACAAGGATTGCTATCGTAGCTAGTGGTATTTGTAAAGTTATAAGTATTTTTCATTGCTTCTTTGGATATTAAAAACCTGTCAATAAATTTAATTCTGATCGACAGATAAATTAACGTTCAGTAAGATGATCAGCAATTGCGAATGCAACACACCGGACATCTGCTGATACATCCATGGGATGCAACACTGACATCCTTAGTCCGAGAAGGAATCCTGATATGGAGCAAAGAGCTTATTACAAACTTTGAATGATGTTTGGTACCTCCAACTGAAAACATGGCGGACTTGGATACATTTGTTTGCTTGTGTATTTTATGTGTCATATCCTTCAGTTTGGAAGTGGTTTCATTCTTCAAAAGATGGTCGCGAACTAATGGAAAAGGACTCGTGTTCTGGGACGTGGAAGTGACAGCTGTGAGGAAAGCAATTGATGAAGATGCTCGATACTTTGTGGAACTAAGTAATCAGTGGTTTATTTTAATGTACTAGATAATCATTTGAAGCTCAGAAAGGTCTTTCCAAACCGAGTCTTGCGTTTATTGACGACTGATACAAAAAACAGCAACAGACTCTGGTTGAAAACTCGCTACTATTAGCACAATATGAAATGAGTGACAACAGAAGATGTCATGAGATTATCACAGATAATGAAACATTGAATCAAATTTTTTAAAACTGACTCATGAGGAAATAATGATGTCTAGTTCAGAGGAAATGAACAGAGACCACAAATGTTCGGATGTCAAGTAAGTTATATATATTTCGATGAAAAGGACTATCGGACGGTCCAGGTACATGTGCCTTATTCAGTTAGCATTACTGGACATTGTTACACCACAAAAAATGTTGCCAAAAGTTATGGAGTTATGAAATAATACACTGCCGACTCACCCATCCGCTCACCGCTACCTGAGGTATCCAGTCTATTGAGTGACTATGCACTGGCTCGTCGATCCACTGCCTTGACAGACTTCTTGAAAGAAGACAAAGCCTAAACTGATACATCCTAGCCCTGACTTAATTCCGAATAAAGTTTTGACGGAATTTTTTGCTCTATTTAATAATCGCAGAAGGCAGACGATTTGAAAGCCGTTCAGCGGTTGAAAGATATTTTCCAATGTATGAACAAAATACCAAGCAGTAGATTCAAAATGACATTTAATAGGCCACCCTTGGCCTTTGACCGCTAGACCACCCTTGGCCTTAGATCGCTTGGCAACCATTTTCCTTAGACCGCTAGACCACCCGCATGTCCCTCATCATTCGTAATTTCAAATAAAAAAGAGACAGAATCAACGGTTTCATTAGATGGAGAATGTAGAGTCATGCAAAGAAAGAAAAGTATTGGATTACATTTTAATGGAAAATGCACAATCTGGATTTATAGATGGAGGAAGGTAACTTATGATGTGACAGTCGCGTAGGTACCGAAAAAGACTACTTTTTAGAGGAACTTCTCCCCATACATTCATAAATTAATTCATTTATTGAACAAACAGAACGAATACATACATACATACATACATACATACATACATACATACATACATACATACATACATACATACATACATACATACATACATACATACATACATACATACATACATACATACATACATACACACACACACACACACACACACACACACACACACACACACACACACACACATACATACATACATACATACATACATACATACATACATACATACATACATACATACATACATACATACATACATACATACATACATACATACATACATACATACATACATACATACATACATACATTAAAAATACTATTTAATAACAAATATGCATAAATTTCAAATATTGGCTCCTTGACGGGTACCCTGCTGAAAAAACTTAGAGAAGATAAATGCTCGATCCATAGAGGAGGTTATCTTATTGCATATATCAATTTTCCCAAAAGTACCATCATCTGAATACTCTGTCTGAAGCGGACGTGGCGGAATTAAACCTAAATCCCATGGCTTTGCATTCAGATTTGGTGGCATCCCAGGCATCGGGTTGTATGGGAGAAACACTAGCTTTATTACTGGAAACGTCATTAGTGATAGCTGATCATGTATAATCCAGATTTTTATGCAAAAAAACCCAAACAAATAAAGTTTCTTATTTGATTCAGCACAGCCAGCAAAAGATGATATTCACAGCAGGAAATTTTATTTGTTTCCCGAAAGGATTCCATAGGGTGCGACCAAAATATATGGTCAATATGAAAACAGAATACATATCAACCTATTTGATGGATTGAAGCCTTTTCAGCAGGTAAAGAAAGTGCAGTGTTCGGAGATTTCATGCCAAGAGTTTAGCCATTTAAACATGAGGTTTAACAGAACAGCCATGTTCTGTGTCTGGGAAACCAATCTTGAATATCTTCCTTAAAAACATAAGTTCTAGTACTTTTTTTTTATAAATTTCTTTAATCACAAATATTATCGGACGAGTGTCTTGAAAATGGAGCCAGTAAAATACCGTTCTAACCTGACATGTTTTTGCTCAGAGTATTAGTCTCCGTTTGTGCTTTAAAGAAATTGTTGACAACAACGAAATTATTTTGGCGTGTCCCTCAACGTTCTGAAAATTTCTAACAAAAGCATATACACAAACTTCCATGGGAAAGTTTCTAATGATTTGATTTATTTAGGTCAAAATGAATAGAATATTACTTTATTTTTAATGTCACAGTTCGAGGAGGGTAAATTAGAAAGGTCTCAAATTGTGTTTCGACATAAATCACAACGGAAAGAACACTTGTCAGCTTTAATGCACGTATATTTAATTCTGTAGAGTTAGACCGATGCACGAAAAGTCGCAGATCACACATTTCTCGTATGACAGTTTGTCTACTTAAGCGAATACAAAAGTGGAAGAAGTAAATTTCTTTGGTCGATGTAAAAACATTAAAACAAATATGATATTGAAAATTGTGGAAAGAAAATTGATTCGCCAGATCATAAAAAAGAAACTTCCGATTTCCACTATGTTTCTATGCTTTGTTTGCGTCAGGTCATCACAACTGTAATTTCAGATGTATACTGTACGTACAAAATTAAATACATGTGAAGGAACTCTTCAGGAATCGAATGAAAGAATCGAATATAATAGTCTTCTAAATTAACACAGTAACATTTTGATACATCTATGACAAATTTCATGTTAACATTTATTGATTCCCGAAAATACTTTAACTAATTCACCCAGTATCTTTTCTCAAGGTTAATCATAAAACGGTTATATTTCTGATATCCAGCAAGCGTATGTGTTGGACTTTTCTGTAGAAAATAAAGCATTCTAAAGCTAACGCATCTATCGTTGTTCTGTCATTTCTCGTGAACCATTCATTGCAGACATCCTTGGGTGTGTTTCATACACGCAACTGAACCTTGAAAATGTGCCATTGTAGTAATTCACAGTACAATTGATATTTTTGGTTCCCTCTAATGAATTGTAATAGACATGAAGAAAGAAAAGACTAGCACAAGTTCGTTCCAGAACTTATTCGATGTAAGAAGTCAGCATATAATGAGAACTGATCTACATACCAGTCGTAGAAGCATGATAGTCACGTGACCTACACAGGTGTTGTTGGTTTTTATCCCACGTGCTTTTCGTTTGGAATTTTAATTAATAATATTCTAATGTCTTCGAAACATAAATTTCAAAGTGGAACTAAAGCAATACTAATTGGTAGAATGAACAACTATGAGCGAATAGTAATAAAATGGTGGAAACATCCGTTCTCGTGAGGGTTTTTATTCTCGAGAAACGTCGTACGTCTTAAGCAAGCGATATTGGGTAAGTGAACTCATGATTTACTTTTTATGACATGAATATTTACATTGAAGTAGGGGTCATTTAGCATGATCTTCACACGAATGTAAGCGATTATTTTTATATCAGATTTATGTGTGCATGGTCTGTATCCTGAATTTATCTTTCTTTTACTTCCTTCCCTTTTTCTGAAAAAAAAAATGAAAATATTGAATTGTAAAAAGTTGCTTGGAAGTGAAAAACAAAACAAGGAAACACATAGTAGAGTATTATGATGGTGTTCCATAATTTTGTGACTTGCTCACCGATATTTAATTTTATGGCGAAACTTGATTGTAAACATGGTAATAGACGATGAATATGCACCTGTTTTTTTTTCAGCTTTTCATCAACCTGTAAAGCCCTTATCTGAAAATAGACATCTTCGTCAATATCCATATTTTTATTTATGTTTTTAAATTTATTGTAAAATTCGTTTGAAGACTCAGAATGTATGTATGTATATATGTATGTATGTATGTATGTATGTATGTATGTATGTATGTATGTATGTATGTATGTATGTATGTATGTATGTATGTATGTATGTATGTATGTATGTATGTATGTATGTATGTATGTATGTATGTGCGCGCGCGCGTATGTATGTATGTATGTATGTATGTTATGTATGTATGTATGTATGTATGTATGTATGTATGTATGTATGTATGTATGTATGTATGTATGTATGTATGTATGTATGTATGTATGTATGTATGTATGTATGTATGTATGTATGTATGTATGTATGTATGTATGTACCTACGTACGTGTGTGTGTTGTGTGTGTGTGCTATTTGGATTTTCAACTTAGCTTTAACAGATTTAGTCATATCTCTACAATGTCTGCAGTGTGGCAGTTTATAATCTAGCACTAGAGCATCATGTCACATACACGTAGCATCATGTCCCACCCAGTCCCATTATCCTAGGCTGACAAGTCGTAATTCTATCCTAAAACAAACCTCTTAATACTGAGCGCCACGCGAGGTAGCTGCTAACACCATCTTGTATGTCTTTCGTATGACTCGGCTGGGGTGCTAACCCGCGACCTACCGCATTTGAAGCGGACGCTCTAACCACTAGGCCACTGGAGCGGTCGCATCATAATTATACTTCAGAGACATATACAAATTTTCTAAAGCAACACCAGGAAACCCGTGTTATTTTTAATCAGGAAAGGTGATTTTGTTTCTTTTGATAATTATACTATAATACGTTTTGATGAATAAACCTATGAGAACACAAATTTCATCACCCCTTTAAGTGTATCAAGTTATTTATAATCTTGCTTGGCTGTAACATCTTATCTATCATCTTTTATCTCTCACTCATTTGTCGTCACAATATTGATGTTATCAGCTTCTTTGTGGTATGTCTGCACCTCGAATGTGTGAAAAAGATCCTCTTTTCCTCGACCTTACCGTGCTTTTCCGTAGACGGGCTTATCATTGACAACCGGTTTTCTTCTTTTCTGCATTCTGAAAAATTGGAACCTTCAGACACATATGTAAAATCTCTCTACAGGAACGTGTTATATCATTATGAATTTATTGATGTTATCGTATTGCTTTCGTCTCAACATGCATTAATTGATGATATGGTATTGCTTTCGTCTATGATTTAATAATGGTGATAGACAGCTCTAAATAGATAGTATCAACAGAATAGAAAATGTTAAAGTTTCCTTTTGTTCGGTTTTTGATTTCTAAGTCGAGTAGAAAACAACAAATTCACTGATACAGAGCGATTTGTTATATATAATATGTACCTACCAGTGGAAGTCAGTCGTTTTTGTATTGACCCAAATATATTCATAGAACATTTAGAAAGTGGTCCATCACGAATCAGTTTTGGATGGTGGTTTGCAATCTCAGCTGCGTGTGGCAAGAAGATAACAATGTGTAGCCAGAAGATAACAGTGTGTAGCAAACAGATAACAGAAGCTATCAAGGCAGTCATCAAAAAGTATGCTAGTGATTCGGAATGAGTGTGTGGTTTAGTTTTGTAACGTAGCTTTAACAAGTTTTCGGTCATATTGCTACCATGTCTGCAGTGTGACAGTTTATAGTGATGTCTAGCACCGGGGCTCACGCCGCAGACATATGGCATGATGTCCCACCCAGCCACATTATCCTGACACCAGGTCGATCAGTCTTAACACTAACCGCTTAAGGCTAAGCGCCAAGCGAGGAAGCTGTTAGTACCATGTTTGTCTTTGACATGACTCTACCGGGGTTCAAACCGACCTACAGCATCCGAAGCGGAAGCTCTAACCACTAGGCCACCGGAGAGGTGATTCGGAATGATACTCCCAGCAAAGCGGTATGCCGATTTGAAATACCAAATATCGTACTTACTTTACAACTTATAAATATATCACAAACATGGGGCAGTCAGCAGTTGTCACTTTTCAATGTTGTTTTAAAAAGCTTCAAATTTATGATTACCCCTATATACTTGGCTTTTAATATAAAAAAATTCACACACACACACATATATCTATCTCTCTCTCTCTCTCTCTCTCTCTCTCTCTCTCTCTCTCTCTCTCTCTCTATATATATATATATATATATATATATATATATATATATATATATATATATATATATTAACAGTATTTTTCTGTGGGACTTCTGTTTTGAGCAGTAAAAACATAAGGTGGCGCTCAAAATTTTCATATTTAGCATGGGTTAACATTTTAAAGAAAAAGAATTTCCCCTGGTTTCCTCACTAGTTATACTGGCTATTTAAAAACTATTTTGTATATTTGGTAGTTTTCAAGGAACTTTCCATTCCCTTTATTTGGGTGTATGATTTATGGGTGTAATATGGGTTATAAAGTATACAAATTGGCCTTACTCCAGATGTCCACCTTTCATAAAGGTGCTAGCTCCTCGTGCTCATTATCACTTCCGGCACTTCAGATAAAAAATGTAAAAATAAAGAGCCGATAACTTTTTTTTTTACATGTTATATATTTGGTATTTTATTCATTGCACTTTCAAAAGCTGGTATTGTCTAGTTTGGCAAAATTCATTTTCCCCATTTTAACAGCTGTCAAGATCGTTTACTTGAGACAAATTCACGTTGATTTTTGGAGCACACAGAAACAAGTTAGCAGTGTGCTAAGATCATTCAAAATTTTTAAAAGTACAATATCCAAAGAAATGTCAGCCACATTACATGAAAGTAGCATAGAAGTACGCCAACATTATCTCCACTGAGCTTGTTTTACATGCATACAACTTAACATTACATACATCACTCTCAATCGTACATAAAAACTTGCGAGCGCCACCTATCTAAACATTTTACTGTAACAGTGAGTCGGTAGACCAATCTGTCGGTGATAGACCGAATGTGGTATAATTACATCACAATTATTTGTATCATGGCGACTCTTCTAGCCCAGAATATCGACGTGAATGTTTGCAATTAATCGTCCATATCTTTAAAACTGTAAAGTGTTTTTATTTGTTTTTAAATTTGCACACATATTTCCATTCATTGACGATATTCATTTAAGACACATACAGAAACTAGAGTTCGTTTTTCAGGCGTGGAAGATTTTTGCAATGAACAGTGGTTTATGAGCGATCCAGAATTACAGCAATGAACAATTAGGAATGACATGTAGAAATGAACAGTGTTCGGTGAGCGATCCACAGTTATAACAGTGAATTATTAGGAAATGACAGTGGCGTCACCAGGTTGGGTGTCACACAGCGCGGTAGCTCAAGGTGTCCCCCATGGACACCCTTTCTACACAAAAATTCAAATGATTTATATATAGTTATGTTCGGTAACTCATGGTGTCACCCCCATGGTCCTCCTTCCTGCTGAAAAATTCAAAAATGTTATAGACGGTCATTTTGGTGTCACACCATCTGATGGTGTCACCCGGTGTGATCCTCAATATCAACCCCCCAGTGACGCCACTGGAAAATGACGTAAAAGATATCAGTCGTGTTCTGTGAATGAACCCCAATTATAGCAGTGAATGATTAGGAAATAAGATAAAGAAATGAAGAGTGTTCTGTCAGCGATCCATATTTACAGCAGTGAATGATTAGGAAATGACAAATTTAATTAGAATGAAGCCTTAATTCATTCGCAATTACAATTTTTAAAAAATGTAAGATGGCAATAAGTAAGGTAAGCAACGACAATCAGAGAGAAAAACATTTCGCTGTAAACAACAAAGTTGTCGGTTTTCAAAATCTTTACAGGTTCCAGTCAAATTCAGAAAACAAATTTACAAATTTGACATTTCACAATTTTCCCTTGACAAAGTGTTCAATTTCTACCAACGGTCTCTCTTGGATCGTCTAACCTCCAATCTACAAATATTGAACTTACGACTGATTATGTTGTTAGCGCTGATTCAAGATCTCTGGCGCACGGAATTTTCGGCACTTCAAGACCAGGGGCAACCGCCCCGTCCGCACGTCCCCGCCCCCGTTAGTTAGTATGCTTCTGATCTTTCCTTTCCCAATGAGTTATACTGATAATTGATGACTGATAATGATATCAATGGTGACTAAAACAACTTGTTTAAGGTAATGGGAAAATCACAAGGACTATTGCTTAATAGTATGTGTTAGTAAGATGGGAATACTAATTTGAATGATGTACCAGTTGTGTAGCTCTGACGGTTTATGTCAACATTATATTACTCTTCCATCGAGAAAACATATCTTGAATAAAGAAATAATCACGCCCTGCTTAAATAATTACCTCCAAAAACTATGATCGGGAGCAATATTCTTTGAAGTTAGACTTTATTATTCAGCTCGCTACTTAGACGATGATTGCAATAGTGAATGCCTTTCGGAAGCCTTAGTTACCACATTCCCTAGAGGACAATAAGCATAACGCATCGCATTTTACCTTAGAGCCGCAGGAACTCGAGGAGTGTCAGACGCGTACTCTAAGAGTCGTAGGTTTTGACAGACACACAGACGAGCACATTTTGGCTGTCTCGGTGTTATTCTCAAGGACAATTATCTCATATTTTGCTCTGCTCGATATAACCAATAATGTATCAAAAAGACTAACAAGAACCATATAAAATTAAAATGTTACCAACAACTATATTTTATTATGATTATTTTCCACCTTACATAAATTAAACTGAGATAATTCAGTTTTCTTCCATGTCATAAAACATGGCGGGGTGGGGATAGGGGATCTGTACTTGTATATTTCTGTATAGATACGAAAAGTTTTCTTTCTTTTTTTATCTTCTTGTTAGAATCATTAACCCCTCATTTTGTACTTAGATTTGTTACTGTATATTCGTATATTTGTTTGAGTAAATACGGTAATAACATGTACTAATATATTCCTCCCCAAATGTCCCATGACTGAAAATGAAATATATTTTTTAAAAAATTGATAAATCTTGTCGTGTGGTATTCATCAAAAGTAAAATTGAATGAACACTCATGACAAATGTTTGATTAAGTATTTGTTGCAATTGAAATTTTGATGTCAAACAGATAGGTGAATTTTGTTCCTTTTTGTGAGTTCAGCTATTTTAATCGACTACTTATAACATCTGTTAAAGACAAAATTCACATTAAACATATTTAAAAACAACGATCCGTTTCATTTTCATCCACATACATCTTTCTTCTTTAGTCGTTATATATCAATCGATGTAAGTATAAACATAAATTGCATGTTACGGTTAAATGCTTGTATCTTCACATGCTGTGAAAGCTGTGTTTTAGTTAACTTGTCCGTACGAATCACACTCTATCTCAATCACCAGGATCACGTGCATTCACCTTTGTTCTCTCCGTTTACGATACAAATGTGTTTATGAGGGTCAGAACATTCTAAGTTGAAGATTAAAAACAGAAAGCAGTATTAAAACATACATTGTTGAGAATTTATTGAGGTGTGTTTATGCTTAAGTCAACTACCCATTAACATTCCGTAAACATATAACAATAACAGTACCGCGGCATCTGTATGGTGGTCCATTCATGAAAAAAATCACGCGCCAGTGTATACCGTGTTTGCACTGACTGCTCTACAAATCGATAGGTATTTGAAATTGTACAGCTGTGTTTACGCGTGGGACAAT